ATTCACGATCACAATACATCCGAGTACATTACAAAAAGTCCGGGTAGAGGAATAATACGAGTGTGTATACCAAATTAAAGCCGTAACCATAAACGATATGCAAATTACGCTAAAACTCGTATCTTTTCTGCTATAATCTATCTATATCTATACTATTATAATAAAGTGTAAACACACTCTTCTTTGTTGCTTAAGGTGTCAGAAATGATATAAGATAAGATTATTCAAATATATAAATATATAAATATTTGAATAATCTTGTCTTAATAAAAAGCCCTGCACTTAAGTCACGCTTTAGACTAGTATTTTCAGGCCATTAAACTTAGGGTGTTAACATTTTGGATAAAAACCCAAATGTGGGAAAGAGACCATAAGTTGCTGCCAACATCAAGGAAGCAAGATTGCCAAGGTTTGTCATATCATGTCATTTTGACATTTGCTATTGATAATTTGACAAATGTAAACAATAAAATAAAAGTTTCATATTTATTTAGCTATTTTATAATGTTACCCCTACTAACTACCCTGTCAAGAGATCTATTTGAATTTAATAACAGTTGGGTCAGTGTGAAGAGGCGGGTCTAAGTCGTTTGTGTCGCCTCACCTGGTGTTGAAATATTCAGACTCCATGTGGTGCAAGTTGTAGTTGATCTCCGGCTTGGCGCTCATATCGCCCATGGCGCTCATGGCGGCCATGGTGGCGGGCATCGCCAGCGCCGCGTCCGGCATCGCCTCGTTCTCCTCCTCCCCCGGCACCACCCCCGCCACCAGCCCGCCCAGCCACAGCCCCTCGCGCACACGCTCCTGTCCCAACTGGCTCTCTACCTCGGTTACCTTCACCTCAATTTTCTCTTCCTTCAGAATAGTGCTGAAAATACCGTTTTAAAATTAAAATATTGATCAAACTAGAAAATGTTACTCCCGCGCGTGTCAATCAAGGAACTCTAGATCTAAAATATTTCAACGTCAACTCTCCGTGGTGTTTGAAAAGATTTAATGAAAACACTAACATAGACTGTTAAGAAAAATACATGCTCACCTTTCTAGATCAAAAGATATCTTATATTCTTGAGATTTCTGAACTACTTTGAGCCAATTGGGCTTTTGGAATTCGTCTTCGTTCAAACTGAATGACGAACCAGGCCTAAAAATTTAAATATCACATTTACCAACATTAATTTATACTTAAAAGTTTTATATACATTTTTTATAATTAGGCAAATTGTACAGTGTATGAAAAATATTTTAAAAAAGAACATACATAGGGGTGAAGTTAACAGCGGTACCAAAATGATGTTGTTTGTTAACTTGGTAGAAATTATCAAGAGGAGAGGTAATCATCGCGTCTTTTGTGATCGGCGTCATCGCTGAAGAGTTTCTCTGATTCGACTTCGAAACACTCGTCTCCATTACTTCACTCATCGAAAACTTTAATTTAGCTAAAAAAAAGAACAAAAGTACAATAATGCACAAAATTAAACCTAAGCCTTAAATATTGCCCACTTGGAATATGCTAATATTACTCACATTTATCAATCGGTGATATTTTACTTGCCACATCGAATATAGAATCAGGCGTCCAGAAGTGAGGTATACGAATAAACACTTTGCCAGAGTCGACGGGCATGTGGAAGCCGAGCTTATGCAGAAGCTGCAGGAATTTTAAATCCTTACAAATTGAAGCTTGCTCGCAATTCCACGGCACTAGTGGAACGGATTGATTTAAAACTGAAAATAAAAATTTAAATATTACGTAGTGTAAGAATAGCCAAGAATCGAAACGTCTTAAGCGCTCGTTTGCTATTTGCATATAACAGAGAATCAAACTTAGTTATGTTTAAAATACAACTTACCCAAGGAGTGATACGACACAGGAGAGACGACAGGTACATCTGTATCATTAATTACTGTAAAGTTTTTGCTAGAATCTATGTCCATTTGTGCTTTCTTCTCGAGATATATTTTGGCATAGCAAGTGTCGAGTAACACTGTTTGAACCCAATCCAAAAACTTAGACTTGCCATCCTGAGCCAACTGTTCGCAAAGCTTCCCTATCTCGTCATCTCGCATCTCTTTGTTAATTTGAACAGCTTTAGAATTCCTGTCCATTTCGGATTTAAGAAGTTTCTCGAATTCTTCCTTGTTTATTATTGACTGTTTAAATAGTTCCTTTATTACGGAATCCCTCTTTTTAATTACGCCGTCCTCTTTAAATAATTTCAGTATTTCACCGATCACATCCGACGTTGTGTTACACTGCATATAGTTCCAGCTCAAAGAAGAAATTTCATCGTCTGTCCATCTTAAATAAAATATTTTTTTCTTACTTTATAAAATCAAAGTTCAAATGTTTAATGAATCAATTAAATAAACATAGGAACCATAATAACATCGCCGTTACTAAAGTTAAGACATACATTTTTCCTATAAAGTGGCGACATAATAAAAATGAGAAATAAAATACGTGCGTAACCAGCGTTTACGTCATTAGGTAAAATGAAATGACGCAGCAAAGCGAAATGTGCCGCGGAGCATTGAAGCGTCATCGTTTGGTGTGTGCAATGCAGACTTCGTAACAACCGATGTGACGTTACATTTCTACTTACCAATTTCACCAACAAATTTCGAAACTGCGTATATTTATTAACTCAGATGATTTATATTTTTATTCCATGCCAAAGGTAGTCTTTACTTATACTATAACTAGGAAAGATTTGTATTTTTGTATGTATTTAAATAACGGAAAAACTACTGGTCCGATTTAAAAAAATCTTTCACCGTTAGAATAGTAACTTATCTGTTAGAAACATAGGCATTGCTTTTATTATTTTAGTAAATTTCACGCGGTCGCGACCAACAGCTAGTAAATAATAATTCAGAATCCGTTGTTATCAATATTCATAGTTTGGTACAAGTAAAGACAAAATGTAAGTATTTATAAGTTCCTTTTTATTTTAAGCTATGTATGTTTATGTTTTATACTAGCAGGTTGTTTGATAAAATACAATACTTTCGCCGATTCCTAAACTTTTCTTAAGATCGATATCGGTAGCTAGAAATTATAAATAATACGAGAAAAACAATTAGGTAAGATGATGTTACTTTACCTCTCCTTAGCATTTGATACGCTGCTTGTGGTTGATTTTCTTTTGACTCCGACGTCCTTTCCTGCTTCTTTGCTTTGGGCCACATCGAAGTTTTCAGACTCTAGTCGGAAGGTACCAGTACTTTGCAACGATTGGGGTTTCTTTATAAATGTATTTATAACGTACTCAATAAGATCGGACCAATCCTATAAAGAAGAAATTTGCATGAAAAAGAACAAAGTTGGATTGCGCCAAATAGAGAAATGTATGTAACTTGTAAAGTAAAAAAAATTGCATACATCGCAAGTTTCGAATTCAGATTTCCATATGGATGTAAAAGTTTTTAAAATCTTGGGTTGAAATAAGGCTATAACGCATTCCAGCTCTCCCCCTACGTGGTGCATCATAGTGAATATGCAGTCGTTAACGAACTCTCCATTGATTTCGTAATCCTCCAGCAAAAGCCCATATTGTGACATTACCTCAGGCGTTGCGAACCTGCGACAAATCGATGTATCAATATAGACAAGTAACAAAGCTGTTAATTCGGAATAACGTACATAGTAATAAACACGTTAAAATACTAACTGTTTTATATGATCAATCATACTGCTCGAGCCTTTGTAATCCGGCATTTTCATAACGTTGTCCAAAAACATCAATAAAATGTGGTTGGTGACAATAAGGTCCTGAAAATGTTTCTAATGTAAAGTGCTCTCACTATGTACCTTTTCATTTTTAGTCGCTTAACGTAAGACAATTTTAATGATAAAACGTCAACACTAGCTTTCATCGCCTTCCCTAATCCTTGTTTTGAGTTATATAAAAAAAAAAAACTAAATATGATTGAAAACATAATTTTTTGCTCTTTATTTGTACATTGGGCAAATAAAAAATGGCCAAACCTGTAAATATTGTTTCGGGTGATATTTAGGATTGTAATGACGCAAAAGCAGTACTAAAAGCGAGCGCAATTCATCGGTCTCGCAAATCTTCATTTGTAGCGACACCAGCTTCACTTGGTCATCATCGCAAGTATGCGGCGATTTCTTATACAATTCAATTGCCTGAACGAATTCTCGGATGGCTGTCACCACCTATGGAGTGACAATAAATTAAGTAAGAGTGATGATTGTTGCGTTATCAATTCGAAAAGTTGATAATTCATAAACTTCAAACTTCACACATACCAGGTGTAACCTACGAACGTTAGGTTTCACATCATTTCCGTTTAATTTTCTGGCGAGTTCAAACTGTTCGCACAGGTTTACGCCCTCCGCAGTCAAATACGAAATGATTTCAAAAGACAGCACGGAGCAAACGTGCTCCAAATCAAGTTCAATTTGCGTGGCAAACTTCAAAAAGTATGTAACGAGCCAAAAAAAGTGCGATGTATCAATTTCCAGTTGAACATTAGTTAAAATTTCTTTGTGGAGTGTCTTCACTAATGAATTATATCCTTTTAACAGGAAATTGACTGTAAATTCTTTCAGAACATTGGAAATGTCGTCGTCAGTCAGTGTGCTGTGTCCTTGCAGTGTTATTCTAAAATAATTAAAATCATTAGTTGATAAACCAAAAATCAAATATGTACTAAAAATACACAAAAATACGAACATATTAATTTTTCCTTTCTTGACGATTTTTTTTCTTTTTCTTTCCTGCAGGGTAACGTTCGTGCGTACTTTGTTGTTTATTCTCTGTTTGGTTGTGTGCGGTTTTGGGTGCACGGGTTTTTTAGTTGGCAACTCATCTTCGTTGCTCGATGTGGATATCGACTCCTGATTTTCGATCTGAGTGCCGTAACCGTAATCAGAAGTTTCTGATATAACCACTTTCTTTTCTGACTTTACTTGATGATCATTTTCGCTGTCATTTGAACCGGATACGGAAACGGGCTGTAATCAATATTATTCTTTAATATTTATTTTATTTTTTTATATTTCTTAACATAAACTTTTTTTAAGGAATTACCATATCACTCTTCATGGTGGTATCTTTATTATTATCACCACTATCACCACCATCTCCACTATCGCCACTATTATTATAGATTGTTTCAGTGCCGTGATTGTCGGCAGAGCGCGGAGACTGGAATGGTTGGTTGCCGTTCATGTTGTTCCTTGATGAAGCATTCCAGTCGTTGCTGGGATCGTTACTTTTGCCACTTCCGCTGGTATCCGACGAGTCAGACGTTGGATCGGAAGTCAAATTTGGCGAAGAATCCTTACTACCTAGTAGGTACAGTTTACAATATTAGGTATACATTTTATTACGTCTCACTTAAAGAAATGTACCCAATATGTTTAAAATAAAATAACCTCTATCTTGCGGTGACGTATTGCTTTCGTTGTCTTCAGAACTTTCAGATATAGAGGCGTCGAGCCACAAATTAAGAAGTTTGTGTAATGTTGTGACATGCTGATCTTTATATAATAGGGCTATTAATTGTACCATTGTAACTGCCCAATTTGTCTGGAAGGAAAATAACATACAAAACACACATCTCGACTCTAGAATAATTAATGAAATAAATTAATAACAATAACAATAACAATAATAATAATAAGTAAGCAAATTTCAATAGACAGTACAGAGATATGTCTGTACTGCTACGAACACTCACATAATTCATAACTTACCGCATCTGGCATACACATTAGCTTTATAAGAACGATGTCAATATTTTGGCTAAACAAGTTCCATAGCAATTGGTTTTGCACGGTGTGCGGGGCGCCGTTGTAGGCGAGGCCCAGTTCGCTCACATCTTCAGGTATGTGCAAGATGTTGCGCAGGAATAGAAGTGTGTTGCTAATATTTACACATTGATCCGGAGAGAGTTTACTTTTTTTGTCCAAGTCTGAATTTTTTTTTAAGAATTCTATTATGACTTTTGTTGCCCTATGATCTGTCAGAGCAAGTTTAGTAGTTGCTAGTAAATTGTTAACTTCAAATACAGTGTGTCTTCCGAAGCCTGTTTTGGAAATTGCATCCATAGAAAGTAGACATTCTATCGGTATTGTTAAATTAACTAATATTTTTATTACTAGTTCAATAGTTTTTTCTTCTTTTGCATTAATCAGCAATGGAATAAGATCCTTCTTTATGTTTTGCCCGAAGCTAATACTTCTGCGATAGGTACATAAGTATTTATCTTCTGTTAGTATATTATGTAAAATAGTTTCTAAGGCAGCTGTAAATAAAAGAGGAATTTCAAGAAAAGAAAAAGACAAGTTTTGGCTGCGCCAATGGAAATACGACAACACACAAAAAAGCTACTCGGCTGAAATGTGAAAAATGGATCATATCACGATATACGTAGGACGTACGTAGCCTGAATTGAATCCTATCCACCAGTAGGATAGGGCTCACGGCACACACATATTTTTATCTGCGATCCGACTGACCTCGCCTGGCTATACGTACAATCTTTTAAAAAATCAATTTACAATAAGACTTTCCTCACCGTTACAATGTTCATTTACGTGATATCCATCTGAATGTAGAAATCCAAGATTGCTGAATGTGCTATGAAGCTGAGGGCTTCTAAGAACCCATTCCATTTTTTATCTGAAAAATATTTAGATTAAGACGTAACATTTATATTTGTTAAAATCTATAATCTTACTAATATTGTAAATGTGAAAGATTAGATGGATGGATGGATGTTTGTTAGAGTTTGTAGCCTAAACGGCTGAACGGATATTGATGAGATTTGGCATAGATGTAAAGGATAGTCTGGAAGAACACATAGGCTACTCAGTTTTGTTTTTTTTTTAATACCACGCGAACGGAGTCGCGGGTCAAAGCTAGCAATTTCATAAAAAAGAAAGATTTGTACTACAATAATTCTTTTTCTTCTTTTTATTGTTATTTTGACATTTTGTATTTCTTACCTTTTCTAGTAGTTAGGAACATAAAAATCTTGTGAATACACACACAAAAAAGAAACATATCAAAATTAAAAAGTTCCGGTATTTTGCACTGTTTAAAACTACACATTTTATAATTTCATGCTATATGTTTTGTGCCAAGTTTACCTAATTTATATTATCCGAATTAAAATACATAGCGACGGCTTATAAGTTCCCAAACTTTGAAATTAAACGAATTCAGGAAAGAAGCCTTAGAACGAAATAAACTGTCAAAGGGCAGTTATGAAGTCGGTATACGATGCGGGGAACTTTCTCGGAGGTCACGTGTACCGATATAAAGTTAAAATTCTTTAAAACTCAATTATACCCACTTAGTTTCCAAACTTTATTTAATTGCCTTCATTTACTTATTGGATATATAGATTTTAAATATTTTCTTTCTTTATCTCAAAAATAAATATATTATGTTGACCAGTGCAACAACTGACCAACAACACCTGAAACCGCCGATATGGCGAAGCGACCGCTGCCCATAGACATCCGCAATTGCAGACCCGTTGCCCAACCTTAATCGACGGAGAATAGGCACATAAAAAAGACATCTCCCTATGCGTCTCCTCCACCATCAAATCCACATTTTCTTCGCATCCCATCCTCTTAAGAAAAGGGTGGAAAGGGAAAGGGACTAAAATTAAGCCTCCGGTACACACTCATCAGACGAAATGCGAAATTGCTTCCACTTCACGCCTGTCTTCTGTATGGTCGTGGTATTGCACAGTGCGAGCCGACCCATTCGTTTAGCACGAGTTGAAGCGGGCTCTGCCACTGTCAAAATGTGATTTAAACTTGTGGTATATCTACCTACACTAGCATAGCTAGAATAGGTAGTCAAGAGTATTTTAGGAACTAACTAATTTAAACTAAATAGTATTTTTTGTTAAATAATAATAACGTTTATAGCAAACATAACCTAGCCATAGTCCAATAAAAGTCACATCCCAAAGCCGATCAATAAATTAAAGTACTCTTGTCATCTAAAACGTGATTCGACAAACGCGCCAGTGAATAATCCTATCTACTGAGCAAAGCACGTTTACCGTCCGAATCTATTTAAATTATTCAAATTTCAGCTTTGTTTGTGTAACTTTGGTAAAGCAGGTCTATATGAAATGACTCATTTCTCCTTCAGAAGAATAACTTAACAAACTTCCGGTGGCCCGCTAACTGCGTCAGCCCGGTTTAAAAAAAAAAGTTACCTAGAAATCCCATATATCAATGAGTCCTAAAAGATTACCCCGAACAAACGGCTTACAAATAGACCGACAAAAAATTATAAATTGGATTTATTACGCAATTACATCATGTTCATACAAAATGGGGACATTTTTGAATATCACATATAGATACTCCATTTTTTAACGGTACAAATAATTAAATACTTTGCACGACTAAAATTTGGTATTTTCCAAAATTGACGTTAACATGCTATATTTGCGATAATTTTAACAAAGTTTTATTTTACTATAGGTACCAAGACTAAAAATACTGAATAACGCTATGCACAGGAGTACCTGTACATTTACATAAAAGTATGCTGAGCGCTGTTCCGATAAGCGATAACAATGGTGATTCAAAACGTCAATTTCCATTGGATGGCAAAGTACCTACATCCAGTTTAAATTATTTTGTCTTTATTTTTTTAAACTTTTCATAATATGCCTAAGCTCAGTTTATTAGCAAACCGAGAAATCCACGTGAAACAGACAATACCGTTCACTTTTCGGTCGATGTTTCAGTTGTTCGGTAAAATGAAATAAAACAGAGTTTAAGCCAAACTAACACATCGTTTGCATTGTACCTACTTCTTTTCTGTGAACTTGTCTAATATTTTTAAAATCCAGTGCATGGTCTCTTTACTATTGATAGACGGATTTTAGATAAATAACAATTTAGATTTAAACTTTGTCCAAATTATTCAATTGTATTGTATTATCTTATTATTTTTATCTACATACTTGGTTTACTCAATTATACTATCACACTAATATTATAAACTAGCTTTCGCCCGCGACTTTGTACGCGTGAATTTAAAAAAAAAAACAAAAGTAAGTAGCCTATGTATTCTTCCAGACTATCCCCTACATGTATGCCAAATTTCATTGAGATCCGTTCAGCAGTTTCAGCTACAAACTCTAACAAACATCCATTCATCCATTCATCTAAACTTTCACATTTATAATATTAGTATGATAGTATAGAAGTATGATGGATGGATCGTTGTCAGTGTTTGTAACCTTAACGGCTGAACGGATTTCGATGAAATTTGGTATAGATGAAGAGGATAGTCTGGAAGAATGGATAGGCACATTTTTTTTTTAATTACACACGGACGGATGTGCGGGCGAAAACTAGTAGAATATAAATGAATTATTTTTACATTACTTCTTACATGTTAATGTTGGCAAGTATATTCTACAATAATAAAGTTGAGAATATCAGTATAATAATAAACAAATAAGAGCTCTTTTATTTCGTTACGTGTCTTCAAAAAGTATCTACCACGTGAACTTGTGCTGCGGTTGCCTATGCGCCAATAGTAGGTCACGCGAGTCGCGTGTCAAGTACACGTGCTCGCTTCGGCGCGCAACGCCCCTCGACCCTGCTCACCTCCCCCCGCACCGCGCACACCGTTTAGCTCCCCTCCTCGCCTACGTAAACGATTCATTATATTCACACCTAACATGGGTTTATAAATCATATTATTTTATAAACTTACATATATTTTAATTGTAATTTGAATGTTGGCATTATATTAATCAGTAAATTATAAAAATAATTCTGGTAAAATTAACTTACTACCTTCCTACTATGTTTCAGTTACATGTGCTCCATATATTTATTTTTTAATTTCCAAATGTTTTTCGACAAGTTGTGATTGGACTGAGTAATCTTTGAAGTGGCTAGACCAAATTTGGCAAGACTTTTAATAAGTAGCTTATATATATACAAAAGGAACCTGTGCTTATTTCATTTAAGTTACCTAATCAAAATATTACCAATTATTGGGGCATCGCCTGTGATCACACAGAATTGGCTGGCCTCTCATAATTATTTTCATATAGCATAGCTGTTCTGTGCACACTTTAAAATCTTTTGTCAGTCATCACTTAACAATCTTTCTTTACCTAAGGCCTGATCATTACAAACACAGGCTCTAGCCCCTCGGTGGGAATGACCTGACAACCTTTCTTTTGTAAAGCTTCTTACTTTTACAACTTTAACTATTAATTATAAAATAGCATATAATGATTTCTTTCGACTCAACTACTTTTAAGAGTTTATAGATGTTTATTATAGAGAGGTTTCAACTTATACTTTATAATAGCACTACATATATGATTAACAGATTCATCTTCCACATATAGTTTACACAAACATATCTCTAAAAATACTTAAAAATACAAAATGTCAAAATACAACTCCAACTAAAATTATTCAATGATAATTACATTTCCACATATATCTAGGCATAGCCTTAAAGGTTTGTTATTTACATTTTTTAACCAACATCTTGAGAATATTAGAACTAAATCAATAACATAAAAAATATTGTTAAGATGTGACAAGTACAAAGTAAAAAATCTATTTTACACAAAGTAGGAATTTGTCCCTAATTTACATCCCGGTACTCATTGATCATTGCATTATTAATGATTTACACAAACATTCAAATGTTATGTTTTTAATAGAAACTATGAATATACACCAAGAAATTTAAAATACTTCACATCATGACCGCATAAGAGGAGACTGTGCTGGGCTAGTACAATTGCTATTAATCATAGTTATTTATTGATAAGTTGTCGATCTACCTCTTACGTATGGTCAGATATAAAACCAATAACAATATAATAAGCTGAAAATATACTTACGGAAAAGACGATATTTCCGCCTAGATAGCTGTCGTACCATAAGTATAAATAATTACAATTAAAAAAACACTTTACACCAAAATAAATATTTGTTTTATGAAAACGAAACCACACAGTTTTCACGTACAATATAGTTTATGGCCATAAAACTACAAACATACAACTATATACCAAAGAGCTATTGTATCAATTTGATATTAAAGAAAATAAGTTTTAACTCGTCTTACACAAACAAGGTACAAGTTCGATATTCGACAAGGATCTCGGATCTTGTAGCCACTTGTGGAAGTCAGAAAATATTCGAAGTGCGAACTGTCATCTTGACAACTTCCTATTTTGACCAATGAGGAACGGCAGCACTGATCTGAATTAGAGGATAGGCGACTGTTTGGAAATAGTTTATACTAAATACACCAAACAAAAAGGTATGTCTATTTTTAGAGTGATAGACGTACAGACTGGTACGATTGGGACTACTGGGACCAACTGGGAAGATCAGGGCCGGCTCGCTCGGTCCAATTCCACGACCACACCAAAGAAAGGCGTAAATAATCGTGTAAGTCCCCTTTTGTTTGTAGAAGTGAAGCAGGAAAAAATATCCTCTCTTTGTACGGTCCACTCTCTTTCCTGTCGTGATATTTTTTTGGGAATTAAGAAACATATAAAATGGCAACATTTTATCCTTGCAATTGCCGCTTCTTATTGGTCCAAATATGTCGCAGTGAAAATGACATTGTTATTTGTTGTTGTTTCACACATTTTCCGTCTGTCACAAGACAAGTCTTAATTTTCATGTGGGTTTGGAAGATTCATTGTAAACACATAAGTATAATTAATTAGCACACTTGTTTATTTTGGGTTATTTAAAAGAAGAAAAATACAATGGGTATTGAATTTCGAGATTTAGACAAAAAATCAATAAACGACAGCGATACTGACTACAGTGATGAGAGTAGGGAAATCGATGATTTTGGTTAGTTTATTTAAACCTAATATTTATGCATTTAAACATTTTAATGAAACGATTTAAGGTCAAAAAATGATCTCATTTACATTAATTTGAAGATTTTACAGAACTCATATTTTCGAATTTCATTTATTTTTGATTTGATTAAAAATGTTCTAAACCAAACCTAACACATCCAGTTTGTTTTCGATATTTTTAACATGCTAACATATTCTACATAGATTACTTGAATTTCGTTTCTAATTTTCCAAACTTAACTTCAAGTAGTTTTACTAAAAATTGTGTTATTTCACTGTTTATTTCGTATATTACTTATATTCATTGTTTCTTTATAACTATGATATCAAAAATAGACAATTTGTGAACTTAAAAAAATCTTTATTTCATATATTTATTGTCAAAATCTTTAAAATTCAGGTGGTATGGAAACTGACAACAGTGAAGAAGATGAGACTTCAAATTTGGAAGAAACAGAAAATGCAACAATCAAAACTAACAGTGACTTAGATGAAAGTGATGGTGAGGAGGATGAAGTGGTGAAAGCAATAAAAGCTGAGAAATCTAAACCAAGGGATCATCCTCCAACAATAAACTGTGAAGATTTTATTGTTGATATATCTTTTAGCCCATCCAAGAATTTGATTGCTTTAGCAAATATAATGGGTGATGTATTACTGTATGAATATAAAAATGATGAAAACAAATTGTTGAACACTTTGGAGTTACATGTTAAGGCTTGTAGAGATGTAGAGTTCAATGAAGAAGGTGATATCATTTATACAGCAGGAAAAGTAAGTTTTAATCAGATCTTTTTGTACAAATATGTTTGTTTTGTTTTAATCTGATTGAGATTGAGATAAAATGGAGAGTTAAGGTATAGATTTTAATTTATTTTGCTTACTTCTTGGATATTTTTTTTAACATGTTGTTTGTCTATTATTCAGGATAAAGCAGTTATTGCCACTGATGTAGAAACTGGAAAATTAAAATGTTGTTATGAAAATGCGCATGAGGAACCAGTTTACAAGTTGTTGTGTTTAGGAAACAACAAATTTGTGACAGGTAAACTTATGTACAACAATATTTTAATTACTATTGCACTAATTGAAATAGAACTGGGGAAAAGGCATTATTCAGCTATCATTTGTTTTTTTGGATACACATTTTGAATCCAAAAACTGTTAAAAGTACAAATATAAATAAAATTCTTGATGGTTAATTTACCTTTATGACTATACCAAACTTCCAGCTACAAGAAAGCAAGAAAGCTTTGTAGGAGAATTTTTTTACCTTTAGATTTGAAGATTTCTAGTTTCAACTAAATGTTTATATGGAAAACATAATTAAAGTACTATTCATTGTAAACAGGTGATGATGGAGGAACTGTTAAACTGTGGGATCTAAGGAAAGCTGATCCATTTTTAAGCATTAAAATTGGTGATGAACATGTTTCTGACATGATAACTAATGAATCTGAAAAATATTTAGTTTGTGCGGGTGGTGATGGAGTTCTTACATCTATAGATTTAAAAGGCAGGTATGTATAGAGCTTTCAGTAATAGAAACAATAGGTAATGTAACTACTATTTTTAATACAAAACTTTGTATGTATGGATGGATGCTTGTGAGAGTTTATTGATGAAATTTGGCATAGATGTACAGCTGTCTGAAAGAACACATAGACTATTGCTACATATGCTACACATTACAATGTTCCCTTAGGATATGTTAAATCTGTTTTTTTTTTATATCTACTCTTTAATTCTGCAATGTTGAACATATCTTAATGAAATTTGCAGATATTAAAAGTTTGTCACATATATCACAAAGGTTACCTGCTTTTGTTTTTTTTTTATTACATATGGATGAACTCATGGGCGAAAGCTAAATAACCATGTTTGGCATATGTAAAAATGAGTAGTATGAATCTAGACTTTTGAAACAAAATGTTAGAAAATAAACAATGTATCAATAATTTCTGTTCCAGTAAAATATACACAACCTCAGAAGACTATGATTCAGAGCTAACATGTATGGGACTTTTCCGCTCTGACACCAAATTGTTAGTAGGATCATCAAAAGGCAAACTCTACCTTTTTAATTGGAAAGAATTTGGTCTGCACAGTGATGAGTATGTGGGACAGAAACATTCATTACAATGTATGGTTCCAGTCACACAAAATATTGTTGTGACATCAGGAGAAGATGGAATATTAAGAGCAACGCATATGTTTCCACAAAGACAATTAGGAATAGTTGGCCAACACAGCCTGCCTGTCGAATGTCTGGATATCAGTCACGATGGACAGTTCATAGCCTCTTGTTCTCATGAGAATGATGTCAAATTTTGGAATATTTCTTACTTTGAAACAATTGACTCGCTTATTGATGTAAATCATAAACAAAATAAGAAAAAAGATATGAGCAACAATCTACCTTCAAGTAGTGTGAAAAATGCTTCTGATTTTTTTTCAGGTCTTGTCTAATATTTTTTTTTGTTAAAATAAAAGAAACTAAAAATCTTTATAATGCCAAGTTTATGTTTTTCCCTGATTAACATGAACATTATGAGAAAAATATTTATTACTTAAAATTATTGCAATCTAAAGAAGAAAATAAAAAAATGCCTTAAATATAGCAGGCATCAGCATTAAATTTAATTTTCTATTACATTGTGCTCAATAAAAGAATACTTTTTGTTTCAAATATTTCGAGGGGTTTAAAAAACTACCATAATTATTAGTAATTTAAAAAATAAAACAACTGAATAAATGTTATAATTCTTCATGTTTAACCTTTTTTGGACTTGGGAATGACCAAAACTCCGAAGGTAAGCCTTTGACATCTCTTTCTCTCTTCACAAATGCAGAATATGAGGACACACAATTGCCAATAAAATAGTTAGATTGGCCTAAAATAGCTAAATCTAAATGTGGGTTTGATTGTTGTAGTTTTACAATACTAACATCAAACTGTCGTAAAGCTAATTTAAAATCATCAAGTAAGTGGTTTGAATCTGAAGCTACGAAAATGTATTTTATGTCATTTAACTTTTTCAATGCTCGTTTCACTTGTCTGAAAATAAAATGTACCATTATAGAATATAACATTAGCATTCAATGAAACAAATAATCAGATTGTAGTTGTGTGAAAATTATGTTTATATTTGGGTTAAAGTAAATATCAATTGACAGCCCCCAAAAACTTTATCATTCAGTGAAATATGAAAAAATATGTATTAATCCAATGGTGCCAAGAAAAAATGATGGTATATATGGTATGCAACTGATGGTATATTACTACTACATATATAAAGGTTTTAGCATTTGTCATTATTTAAATATATTTTTTTAAATGTTACATACAAATCAAACAAAATGCATAACCAAGCGTATATTTATATGTACTTACTTTATGATATCTGATTTTTCTGGGAAACACATTGATTGTGTTAATAAACCTCTTTCGTTTTTATAACCCACACATTGTGGTGCTGCAAACAATCTTGGACTATCCTTAACATGTTGGCATGCTCTTATCCAATCCTGACCATTCCTCAAATGTAAACCTATGAAACCTCCACCACTCATATTATTTCTTATAAAAGATTTTGACTTATTCACTATGTTTTGATTCCATTTTAAATATTTATGTAGGTGGACATTTTCCTCTTGAACTGGGAAGCTGGCTGGAGCACCTAGGAGTTCATTCATTGTAAATCAATATTTAATATGGATGAACGAAAAATTTATTGACATTGACCTCAATAGATTTCACTGATTTTGCTTCACTCCAACAGATACAACTGTTGATTTTATTGTCATTTAATTCTATTTCTAATAGTTCAAGTCCTAGCTAGCAATCTACCAATGCTACTGTCACTGCCAAACTTGCTACAATCTACCTAAATAGGCACAAATTATAGCAGCTTGTATCCTGCCCAATAGGTTATAAAGGTCAGTGTTTTTCATTACAAATGTGAAAAAAAGAACTATGGTGAATCAATGCAACAAATAAAACTTAAGATTTATCTATCAGTTGTGGGTAAAGAAAATAATATATGTGATCTTTTTTATTTCCAACATTATTTCCATCATAGTGAATGTCTATTAAGGTTCTTTGACTGTTACAGTATCCTAAGTCTCTTTAATTTCTTTTAAAATAACAATTTAAATTAGTGGTAACTTTCCAAATAAATAGCTATATATATTTGAATATATATATATATTCCAATGCAATATAACTCCTTGATAGTATAGTATATATCCAGTATAGTAGTATCATATAGGCTAGCTTACTCTACTAATTTAGTTTTTATGATTCCTATTATGAAATTGAAGCCAGTCCAGCATCTTTAGAAAAATAATAGGTAAACATATTAAAACAATTACCTGTAAAAGCTAAAACAGGCCATTCTGTTGAAGGATATTTTTGATTCCATTTATCCATCATTGCTTTGTTATGAGCATCATAATTTAATGGTCCATAAAATTCTGAACCTACAAACTCTATATCAAAAGTATCCCAAAAAGGACCAAAAGGGTTTCCTGATTTTGCATTACAACTATTTTGTTCTTCACCACTTCTCTGGACATAACAGAAAGATATTCTTCTTTGTGGTTGCCATATATTAGGTGCTAAGTTATCCATAAAATCATCCATCGTAATCACTTTGTGATATAAAGCCAGCGATTCAACTTTAAAATAAGTAGTAAAGGGTACTTGTAGTGACTTTATTTCTCCATACCGGTATTCAACCCATGGTGGCAGGACAAGTGTACGGTTTACTCCTTTACTGAATGCTAAAGCTCCTAAGAAATGATCTGCTTGATTACCAAATCTACCTGAAAAATTATCAAAGTTAAGACAAGGAAGTTGATGATGAGTTTCATCCCGACAGAATATGATATCCATTTCGCTTCGGTTGGTTTTTTTTGTAATTACATGGATTACTTTTTGGGTGAAATTAACTTATCATAAAAATAAGTTTGTCGTATTTCAATATAAACAAGTATTTGAAAATAACATACCCATGCATGGACAATATACTACATATCCATGATTGTCATAACTTAAACTATTAACAAAATTGAATGTTAAAAAAAGCAGCAACATTTTTATAGCACGTATTTAGGAGTTAAAATCCGCAAATAATAGACCTATTTATTTATAACGATGTTTTCGGGTCGTATGTTACTATTCTATTTGACAATGACAAGGAGCGACTAATAGTTCTTAGAGTTACCAGTAATCAAAAATTCCCACCTTTCAAAAATCTGCACTAGCCTATCCATTTACAATCACAGGTCAGGGTCAGCGCTTTGTAGTTTTTGGTAGTTTATTCGCCATTTTCTTTTACCTTCATGTTGGTAAAAAAAATCTGGTTTTTGCCTGTCATTTATTTACTTGAAGAACTCAAAAGGTATAGTTATAATTGAAGTAGTTACAATAAATTGCAAGAATGGCTAACATAGCTGCTAAACGTATTAAAAGAGAATTTAAAGAAGTAATGAAAAGCGAGGAAGTAGCAGATGGAACTTTGAAATTAGAGTTGGTCAATAACAGCTGGACAGAATTGAAAGGACAAATAGCTGGTCCTACAGAGACCCCATATGAGGGAGGAAAATTCATTCTTGAGATAAAAGTACCGGAGACATATCCTTTTAACCCGCCTAAGATTAGATTTTTGACGCGCATTTGGCATCCGAATGTATCTTCGGTGACAGGTGCGATCTGTTTGGATATCTTAAAGGATCAATGGGCTGCTGCGTTAACACTACGGACAGTGCTTCTCTCTATACAGGCTTTACTTTCTGCTGCGGAACCCAACGACCCACAGGATGCGGTTGTTGCAAAACAATATAGAGAAAACATCGAACTTTTTAACTTAACAGCACAGCATTGGACTAATGTTTATGCTGGTGGTCCAAACCTGGTATTACATTTCGTGCAAAAGGTACAAATGCTTACCGATATGGGTGTTGATGAACATCAAGCACGGGTTGCATTGTCAACTTTTGATTGGGAATTAGAAAGAGCTACCGAACAGTTGTTCAGTTAGTCTTGCTACTCTGTTGTAATTTTAAAGTTTGATACATACACACAGCAATTATTGATACCTCACATATGTTAGTTTTTTTTGGTAGAGTTTTATAAAGTCAGGACTAAAGACAGTTTTATTAATTGATCATAAATTAAAATAAAATAAGTTCTAAGAGCTGAAATATTGTTTTGGCAAACAATTTTTCTTTACTTTTCCATTTATCATCATAAGTACTCAAAAGCTAGATGTGCTTTTCATGTAGAATTCAGTTTCAACTATGAAACTAACATGTTTCAAAGGCATTTAAGTTTGCTAATAGTATAAAAGTATTGTAAATGAAATATCATATATATTAGCTTTATTTAAAATGCATACAATTTGTTTTTTCCTTAATATATATTTAAAGAACATTAAAAAGTTTTCTCAAATGTAGTACATGTCAAAAAGAAAGTGGAAAAAAAATCTATGCAGCTAATAATGCTGTTTAATTTTTGGGAAAAATATAGTTATCTTTTCCCTCTTATTAATAATCAAAAATAAACAATTAGTAAAATTTCTTGGATGCGTCATAATTGTGTGATAGCTGTTAAAAAGGACAAAACCTGTCTCAAAGTTCCAATAAATGTTTATTATAGCTAAAGCATAAAGCTACTGATAATAATAGTTGTAAATGTCAACTATTCCAATGGATGCAATATGTGATGGTTTGTTTTTATATAATGTTTAAAGGAGTAACATCGGTAAATGATTTTATGTTGGGGTGAAATATTCATGGGAGTGTTACCACTTAAGCTAATTTTTTATTCGTGCATCCATTGTACTACGAAATTATATATTTGTACTAATGGATAAATAAACATTAGGGTTATTGTTCCACAAGCATTTTTCTGTTATCCAGTTATTACTGGATACTCAAAAATTATAAACCTTTATTTATTCCAAGCTAAATTACACTACTATTTCTAGTGTATATTTTGCCAGATGTATAGTTGCTTCTGAATTTAGTTATGAATGATGCAAGTAACATTTTCATGATGACAATCCTAATTTTTATAGATTGTTATCAGTAAATATTGAAATACACTTTTTCTACTTAATTTTTTAAGGCAAGTTCATTTTTTCTCCTTCATATGACATTGTAAATTGTGTGGAAAATTCATTCTTAAAGTACATAAATATTAGTAACTAATATTAATGTTTTGTAAATTTGGTGACTGGTACATCAAAAGTCAACAAGAACTAGAGAAAGTATTGTATGTAATTTTTGTTTTAGTATATATGTGAGAATTTATAAAAAACATGAACTTAAAACAGCCAATGTGTATTAATTTTTTTCACTTGCCTATATCCTACTTCTTACCAATGTTATGCGAAAGTGTCTGTAGCCTAAACGGCTTAATGGATCTTGATGAAATTTGGCAAAGATGTACAGGACAGTCTGGAAAATCATATAGGCTACTTAGCTTTTCTTTCACGCGGACGTGATCGCGTTCAAAATCTAGTTTTTTAAGTAAAAATAAATGTATGTCTCCTATAGCAACTTACTACATTGTGACTCAAGTTAGGTGCAAAATTCTTATTGTGAAATTCCACTGCTGTGACGCTTGTGCATGTATTTTTTGTTTTTGTTTTATTACAAAGAGAGTAAAAGGAATGACAATATATTAATGCAAGTGTTACAGCAGTCCAAACCAGTGTTGGAACTAATTCTAATTACCCTAGTTAAAAGAAATGTAATGTCCACTTTGAAATTTTATACTATGGTCACTGCTTTGTTTAAAAGAACTATTCACCGCCATATTTAAAAGATGGAGAGCCAGTATGTACCTGCTACTATTAAAAGAAAGTGGAGGCGCAGAGAAAAGGAAAGATAACTTTTCCTTTACAACATGGACTTCGGTAAGGGATGGGTTCAGCTGTATAAACACATTGTCTTCAGCTGCCTCCCCTTAGATTTGAAAAAATATGTTAAAAGCAATCAAACAAATCAAAATATTACAGGGGCATAGATTCTTTAGAACATAGATATTTCAAAATCTTCTCTGGTTCCTCTGTAGACAGACTAAAAGACATTGCAATGCAGCCTAAAGATTTTACATTAAACTGTTTTGTTTTTTACTAAAAGTCCCATTTTCCCTTTCCTGTTGACAGCATGTTGGCCAAATTTGGGAATCGACAAAACAGGCAACACCCTTTATTGCTCACCTAATGGATCCAGAAGATTAGGAAGATAAAGAAAAAAAAAGCATATGTTACAATATTTTATTAAGCTTTCACAGCATAAACACGAGGTGGGAACAGGGACTTTTTCCTTATTTCCTTGCGTGTTTTAAGTTTCGCTTCATGTTTTGTTAGAGCCTTGCGCATTGCACGGGTCTTTTTAGGTCTAAGGTCTAATGGCTTGTATTTTTTATTCTTGTAATGGTTTCGAAGATTCACCTTCATTTTCTGATGGTAAACAATGTAGACTCGTGCAATAGCTTTCCTCACGACTCGTCTGTAAAACAACATTTAAATAAAGACAACAAAAAAATAGTGTGAGATTAGTCATTGTTTTAGTTGTTTTCTGAATAAACTGATTGATACAATTTTGTTGTAGTGACATATTGTTCTTTTTCAAATATATAGTACTAGGTAGATGTATAAAAATATTAGATTATTAGATATAGTATCACTGTTTATGATTGATTTAATCCAAAGAGTTAAGAGGTTTTGTAAGTTTTTTCAATGGTGTTACAAAACATAGTTTTAATTGCTAACTTGACATTTTCTTTATTATTAAACAATAATTTATAATTTAAAATTTGGGTGTAAAACTTTGACTTCACTCGAAGCATTACTGAGATGTAGAATTAAATTAGGTATTTTAGATATTCTGCATATTTAAACCAAAAATATAATTAACAAGAATTTGGTAATTAATTTTCTGGTTTAAAAATATGTTTTATTCTTGCTTTCTTTGGACAAAAAACATTGTCTGACTTTGTTAACTTAACTTAGGTACTGGATTTGGTCATACTATAGAGTAAAGAGTCAGTGATACTAAATGAACTACATTTTCTTGTTTCGTTATATATTTTATTTTCAATATATTTTATATTCCAGCTGACAATTTGTAACTTTTTAGTGGGACCTTTTAACAAAACCATAACAAACAATTGGCATACATATTTACACACACAACGTGACAGATACTTCACTGTAAAAACGCTCTAAACCTGTAGCAAACATTTTTTAACTAATAGGAAATGACATTTTTAAATCATGATTTACTTACATTTTAGACAGTTTTGAAGCAACTCCTCCAGTGACTTTAGCAACTCTAAGGTTAGTCAACTCAGTTTTCAACTCTTCAAGTTGCTTGAAGAGTTCCTTCTTATCCTTAGTCCGCAATTCAGAGCACTTGACTTTACCCTGTTTTAAGAAAGGAAAAATAAGACTTCATTTGTATACTACCACTTTTAACTTTACATTGCAGTTTAATATTTTAATAATATAGTTCATGAACATGAAAACAATGCAAAGCTGTCCCATTGTTAAGGTTAGAATCAATAACTATTTTAATACAATAAAAATTACAGAAATAATCTTTAGCATTTGATGAATTTAGTTTGTTTAGCACTTTCTCATTAAAAAACAAAATATTTAGTTACTGATTTCAAACCTAAAAATGGATTTAACATAAAATTATCGTACCATTTTGAAAACTACACCACCTGTCACCACTATTTTGACATAAAGAAATTTCAAAGACACAGTATTTTAAAACGTGAGGATGGCAAAGAGTATGTCGTACAAATGACGTGAGCATAGACACCACATGCAGTTGTTTATGCAAATCGTTTGAGAGCTCAAACCCTCTCTATAATATATATAAAAATAAAGGAACTTTTGTATGAGTGGTCCTACTTTCTCCATAGAAAGAATAATTTCAATTTTTGGCGTCAATTTGGCCCCCACATTTTAGTGTTTTCCTTTTTTATGCAAATCGCTAGATAATCGTTTGAGGGAGATTGAGAGAAAAGAAATATCGTTTGAGGATTATTACTTTTCTTGTAAAAATTATTTGAATCCTCCAAATTAAAATTGATTTTAACGGGCTAAACGGATAACAAGACGTTAGAAACTTATTTATGAATGTTTGTTAGATGTAACTTTTCTCCGAATTCGAGTTAAATCTATTCGAAAATTATCGATTTCAAAATTTAAATGTTGTTTTACCATATGACATTTTTCTCTCATTCTCTTTCACACGATTATCCAACAGCGATGTGCATAAAAAAAAGTAAAGAAAACAAAGAATAGGTCTAACTTCACGTCAAAAATTGAAATTGATTATACGAGGAGAGTAGGAATCCTGCACAAAAGTTCCTTTCTTTCAAACCCCCTCAAACGATTTGCATAAAAAAATATAAGAGTGGAGGTAACTTACCGTTGTAAAAATCAAGGTTTAACCGTGTAAATAAAGCAGGTGTTGTTGGGGGGAGGGGTGTCTATAAATTAAGTAAAATAAAATAATTTGTTATATGAAAAATTCATAAATTTTATTTATTGTGCAATTTATTTATATTTAGCTTATTTACCTTTTCACCGTTTGTGTAAATAAAATATTACTCAATTCTTTCCATAAAATATGATTTAAATAAATTACTTAGCTAAAACGTAACTATGTATGTATTTTAAAGCATTTTATACTTAATTTTAAAATATTTCATAGCAAAATTTAAGGCTCGGTATTAACAGTAACAATTATATGTAGTTGAGGACAAGTTGCCTGTAGAAAAGTACAAGAGAAACAACCGGTCCTAGGAACGCTTCTGAGCCCACTTCATGTCGTCGGCGCGGGGCTTGCAGCCCGTGAGCGCCTCTATGACGCCCTCCAATGTCGACCAGAAGTGCAGCTTCTCCAGAGGCCAGTTTAACCAGCCCGTGGTGATGCAAAAGTAAGTCTCGTGCGGCGCCACATGATGTATGCGGTGGTGGCGGCGAGGCAGCACTATGTGCCACTCTTGCAGGCACACGACCCACAACGGGAGACCAAAGTACGTATGTGACCATTTGTGAATCTGGAAATTAACAACAGATTTTTTATTGTGATCAAAATATCAACCTACCAAAATGCCACACCGACGAGTGCCATATTCGTTTATCTCTTTCTTGGAAACCAAGCTAAATTAAATTAATTCTGATGTTCAGTTACATAGAACAACACGTTTTAATCTATAAATACAATAAGTGTCAGTTTGTAATATCAAAAGAAAAATTCCAGATTTCGGGAAGATGATGTATTGGCGTTGCTGATGACGGAAATCGCATTTAAAATTAATGAGTCTGTCTGTCCGCAAGCCGCGGTTGTTCCGGGTCACCTCCGAAACGGCTGGGCCGATTTCGACGGAATTTTCACTAGAGGGTAGCCGACATGTGGCTGAGATACGTTTAACATACTAGTCTTGGGCTTAATCGGACATCTGCAAGTGCGCACCGTACTGGTACAATTGGGAAAACGTACTAGTACACACTTTTAGTACGCTTATTACTTAAGATTTGTGAGAAAACAATAACATGAATAGAATATATGTTATTAGCGAAAATAAATTTAAGTTATAAATGATTTTATCCAGTTTTGATTCTTATTACCGAAGGTGGATGCTCCAATCTAGCAAATATACAATCAAATCAAACAACGAAGAAGCGAACATCGATATCGTGTAGTGTACTAAAAGTGCCAAATGTCCGATTAACAGAAGCCGTTCAGTAACGTTACTTTTAGTACAGTGCTGAGTAACATTACTTTTTAGTACATTGTATGTGTACAACACAGACTATAACATACGCATCTCAGCCACACGATGGATAATGTAATAGCGCGAAAATAATTATTATATATCCAATTACATTCGTACATCTCTATCAGCCATCCTACCTAAATTCGACTAGGGACTTGAATCATGAACAATTTGGTTAATTAGATTTAAGTAATATTACATTTGTTTTTTCGTTTCACGCCTCTTAACAAATAAATTAGGCAGTTGCATTCATATCGTCCTTTCATTTACACCCCTATATTAACTAAATTCAATTCAATACTTATTACAAATCTTGGTAGACCGTAGTTATACTTTCCTGTTAATATATTGATCGATCGTTTGTTAACCACTGAAGGTTATTATTGATGCGGCCGCGTAGAGCTTATGAATTATAAACGAATTTGTGTTACGGTGTTCATGATACTTTTTTATATCATGTATAGAATACATACATGACATGACATCGTAACCGAATAAGGTCGAGGGTGGGAATAGCACTTAATCCCTTATTCCCTACTGGGGTATTAACATCACGCTCGATTTCTATTTTCAATGCAAAGTTCATTTTACAATTTTAAATTTGAAGTTAACATTTGTTAAAATATATAACTTAATATAGGAATTTTACCTGATTAGTCATGGCGACAAATATACAGCATAGGTACCAATAGGCGATCCAGTGAAATTGTTGTGCTATGAGATAGGGCTCGTAGGTTAGCAGCTGCCATACAATCCTCGCCAGCACAGGTATTGTTATGGCAAAGTTATCGCCATTTGTTTCTATAAAATCGTGACGCGTAATTGACGTAGGATCGATATGGTGTTCACGAAATGGCCTTAAAAAGTTCTGGAAAGAAAATCATTCAAAAGTTTACAATGAACATGTTATTGTTTTTACTTACTACTTTTTAAACCGCACTCGCATTATTATCATCGTAACGGTTTTGTAAAATTATAATAATTTGTTCCTATATACCTGTACACAAAGATAATTGACATTGTAAGTTAAAGATACTAATTGCCAAAATAGATATACCTGTACACAAGCGAGACAACTTTACGACAAATTAAGATTACACAGCTTTCGATAATATTATTCAGTAGTAGCATTTTCAACAGACTCGTTCAACGTTCTTAACATTTGCCCTCTATTGAATCAAACTTAAGAGCGTGGATATTTCTCCGCTTATATTGTTCCTTTCGATTACTAAATTGTTAATTTACTAAGCAATTAAATCTATTTACAACTATAATAAACAATAATGTATTTGATGTACTGGAAATTTTGGTCAATATAGCCAAAAAGCGAGGCTAAAAAGAGATTGAAACAGGCGAAGAGAATGCACATTACGTTTCATACAAGGCATGAAAAATAAAACTATTTTAAATCTACAAGTGTGCGAAGATAAATGCAAGATTTAGTTGCTTCTTAATTTTGCAAATTGTAGATTCTAACTAGTGGAAGTGATCTTTAAAGCTTAGTCATTGTAATTCCTTAAATACTGTACTATTAATTAACTACAGCATCAATAAATCTAATTATTGATTTATCGTGCAGAAGAGACAATCGTACAATTTTATAACCATAACATCGTTAATATATGCTTTGTTATAAATATATTGGAGTGTCTTCTCCCACCCCACTTTTACCAATGGTTGTAACGCTTTTCGTAAGACTGTTTGCGATCTGGTGCCTAAAACCTTTTTTTAAAGAGAAGGTTTCGAATAGAACTGACCTATTATACAAGAGTAACCAATACCGGTTAACAAATATTTTATCTATATAATAAAAAAACTAACGTGTCTTCCCTATTTAGGTATATTACATACAACGCATGCCGATAATAATATACCGTTAACAAATTAAATGGGAGTTTTATTTGTGTACCAGAAGTAACTAGTAACCTGTAGTAGTTCGTTTACAACAATGCACTAGCCATTCGAGTACAGCAATCACAGAGTTATAATGCCTATCCTTATTTAGAAGAAGGGAGCTTGATAAATAAGTAGACAGTTTGTATTATACGATATTGCAGTAATAACAAAGACCACTGAGAAACTGTAAATAATCAACAATCTCGATAGAAGAACGAGCGTATCAATTAATAGTGAAGCATTGGTAACTGATACCGGATAATTATGGTAATAATCCCGTTTCTTACTAAAATTACCTTAATAGAAAAACGTGTATTTAATTTGCTATTTTGTTTCTCGAGTTTATTTAGAATTTAGCGGTGTTATTGTTATGTTTATTAGACAAAAAAAAATAACAGAGAGGATTTAACAAATGAATTCGTCCTTAACGCGTCACATTTCGTTACATGAGAATGAGAAAAACATACAGACGACTTGAGTACCTTCTTCTTTTGGAAAGTCGGTCAAAAATATGGCGCAAATAAAAAAAAGAACGCAATCATAATTATATAGTACCTCTTTGTTATTCAGATGCAAGCGAAGAATCGTAAAATAATCTACAGGTTAAGTATAAAATAAATAAATTCTACTATAATGAATAATATGCCTTCACACTTATTACAAGTTTTTCATTTACACGTAGATAACGGAAAAGTACCTAATAATTTAAATATAAATATATGTTTATATGAGCATAAAAGAGTGAACATGAAGTTCATAAACCACTAGGAGATTATATGTATTTGTAAAGGATATAATGTATTTGAAACTTTTGATGTGAAATGTAAATGAAATCTAAAATATGTAATTATTAAAAAAACAGGATTAAACTTTGTGTTAAGATATGTTTCACACCAAATCTTTTAGCTAAGTTGGTATGATTAAAATTAGGAATAGAAATACTTATTTGTAACATAAACATGAGAATAAAATTATTAATAGTTTAAACACAACTGTTGGTGAAAGTGATTATGTGCACTACACAACCCTAATAATTATAATAAAAACTATACAACAAAAAAAGAAGTTATGACTTTCATAAGTGTTAATAAAATATTGGTAAAACCCAAAGTCAAAGTGTGATTTTTCACATGCATGTAATATTGAAAATACTTTAAAAGATCTACCAAGAGTGCAGAATTAAATTATGCTAAGCAATGCAAAAAGCAGTATATACTTTTGTTGCCTTTTTCATATGAATCTAGAAACAAGTCATCACAATGAATTGTAATTCTAAAAATTTAAATAGAAAAGATTAGTAAAAAAAAATTTACACAACTAATTTGGAATTGTCAATATGCAACTATGATTTCTAGCCTAGAATTTCTTAAAATTGGATAACATATAATATTCAAAGTTTCGGGAACTCTTTTATAAAAATTTAAATTGCATCAATATTTTAAACCTCAAACCTAATGAATGAGAATTTAAATCTAGAAGATAAGTTAATAGTATCTTCAAGTACTAACTTGATACAGTATATTAAAAAATCATGTGACATTTTGTGAATTAAATTTTTTAGGTTTTTTTTTGTGGGATCATACATAATAGGTATAGCTTACTAACATTGTAAATTATTTAGCTTATGAAATTTATGAAAATGGCAAACATGTGGTAAGTTATTGGTTTGTATGATTATTCTCTATTCACTTCATATACCTTGCCAATTAAAGGTAAATCTACAGCTCCCCAAGTGTCAGCTGCCCAATGCACTAAGCCAGAGGCAAAGTCTGCAGTCAACACTCCTGCTATTGCTGCAAAGAATAGTGACGCATCTGCTCTGACATATCGGGCCATGAGCAGCCCTGCACAAACAGTTAATGTGCAACAAAACACCACACACACCCATTCCTGAAGTCTCTTTCCTGTTTACAAAGAATACTTGTTAGTGTTTTATCGACATTATCATAGGGTGTCTTGTTTTTAAGCTGCAGCCACATATTGTTTGCCCATAAAACTATTTATACTTCAGTGGTATTTTCTTAAACATTATAATTATCTATAAAAAAATATATTAGGTTTCCAAAATGTGTCATAATTTCTCTGAATAGTATGGAGAGCTTTAGTAAAATCTAATTAAAATATTAACAAACATCATATCAAAAAAATCTTGATAGCTCAAGACATCACTGGCACTCATCACTACTTTACCAACTCTATAATTATCATAAATACAAAAATAAACTATACACTGAATAAATATACAGTTTACAAAGGTACTATAGAAAATATATGCTATTGGTTGCTAAAGGGATGACTAATAAATTTTATAGTTACCAACCTGGACTGTATAACTCGGCAAGCTCTTGAGCACCTCGATGCCGCGGACCCCATCTCGGTTGTTTACCTCTTTCACTCATTAATTGGGTATTGGCATTAGGATCATCTTCCGACATGGAATGCTCAAGGATTTCTCGTTCTGTTTTTACGGGTGCCAATAATGTAGTAGCCATACTACTAGCATATTCAAAACGTTCACACCCTAAACTACTGAGTCCATCTCTTTTGGCACACGGTGGTATTGGTAGTGGTAGAGTCATTTCCGGACCTGTTTATAAATAACAAAATGTTCAATATAAACTAAGAACTACATGAATTAAATATCGACAATTGAAACATCAATATAATTTATCTATGATGTAGCGATATCGTACAAAGATTGTTCGCGTCGCGTGACTATTTTATGATTAAACAGTCACCGAGTCCGATAAACTTTTATTGTCTGATAAATTACAGTTCGACAGTAGAGAAGTCCAAAAAGGATAAAAGATCTTATTGGACTATCTTATAGTTCATAGTTCGACAAGGACCTTATGGCAGTCGGAAAACATAGCAAGGATGTCAGTTTTTTGACATTGACATTGACAGTAAAGGAAGCAGCGGGTTGGGGGGGAGGAGGGAGTTCCGCTAGTTTTTAGGGTTACCAACAAGCAAAATATCCTAACTTACTCTGAAATTCTGCCATATTCATAGAATGAAAAAAATCTTAACAATTTGCAATACATTTTAGCTCCTAGAAAAGGTGAATTAAAATATTTTTTATACAATAATGTTAAGCATCAACTATATTTTGTAGTCGCATATTAGTCTCATAATTCCTATGGTCTTATTATAACAAAATAAATCAGTTTATTTTAACATGTCATAGTGAAATAACTTAAACGCTTATGAATATACTTCTTCCTTTCTCTATTAGAATAAATTTATTTTAATTTCAGATTTAAGATACAGGGAATAAGATAGGTTTATGGCATAAACTTTACAAGACTTATTTAGCAATGTCTGATTTAGAATAATGTATGTTGTATTGTTTTGAGTAAATACCAAGTAAATACATTAATGGTATCACTAATACGTTCAAGTCTATCTGAAGCAATAATCAGCTGACGTCAGACAACAAAAACAAGTTTTTTTTTTATAATAGTAGTCATAAAATCATATTTTAACAAAGTCGCCATCGCCAGAGAGGGATAGAACGAACAGTTCTAGTAGTAAATATGTACATGCTAAGTACAGGTACATACTGGCTGATAGAGGTTCAGATAGCTTAAAAATAACGACACTGTCTGATAAGGAAACAAAAACCGATATTTCATCACATATTTTATTATACGTGTTGGATTGTTATCAGACAATTTAAATTTGGAGGGACAGGCCTTTAGTATTTTATTCGTTGTGTTCCCATAACATCTATTAATTAAATCATGAGTTAACTGCGAAGCGTACCGAACGTCGCGCGAAATTACACCAATAGTGCAATTTCGGCGGTGCCGAATGTTTCGTCTATATTTTGACCAAACCAGTCGTTCGTGTATAGATTTTTTGGCCAAAACTCATCGAATCAAAAACCGAAATTTCGGTCGTTTTTATTAAGGCTTATTTATGCTTACGCGGTATGAAAAATAAGAAACCATACGTAGTTACAATTAACTACGTATGGCCTGGGAAGCACGGATTGCCGAGCCTATTACGATATATATACGATTATGTAATTTTACTTTTAATCTTACTCTGATTATGTACCTTACTAATACTATGAATGCCAAAGCTTAGATGGTTGGATATTTGTTATAGCATACTGTCCAAACGGTAAAACGGATCTGTATGAAACTTGGCATAGATGTAGAGCAAAGTCTGGAAGAACACATACTTTTTTTAAACTACACGCGGATGGAGTCACGGGCAAATCTAGTTATATATAATGTATTGTATTGTTTTAGTTTCCGTAGTTTTTACTTTAATTCTAAGGGCACATATTTAATGTATAATGTCCAGTAGAAACGACATTTATAGGGCAATGTAACACGAACTTCAAATTTGCTTAGAATATCTTTAAGCAGTCTGCAAGGTGAATAAAAATAGATTCATGAATTAGATCAGCGCGTTGTCTTAAAACATCTCCCATTTTTTCCCCTGTTTTAGAAGAGGAAGGAATCAGTATCGCAATATTTGCTACCATAATTACTACAGATAACTTTTCAATGGAATAAAATAATTGGTAGGTATACCATTCAATAAAAAAGATTTCTAAAAATAAAACTCATAATATGTCTGAGATGCTCTATGTGTAGTGCGTTTTTTTGTCATCTACATCATACGCCATACTAATAATATAAATGCGAAAGGTTGAATGGTTGGATGGATGTTTGTTACAACGTATCGCCAAAAACAGCTCAACAGATCTCGATAAAAATTATCATAGATGTAGAACATAGTCTGGAGAAACACATAGGCTCCTTAATTTCGCGCGGACGAAGTCGGGGGAAAATCTAGTGTGAACATAAATCAAAATATTCGACTAATCGACTTCACAAAAAATAGAAGGATGTGTGATGTAGGTACTCAGTTATTTTTATGTGTTAAAACTTTGCTCCCAGTGAAATGATTTTGATGTTTTTTTGCATGGAAGATTGTTATCTTTGTGTTGTTTGAATTAAAATTCGATTAAGAAATCACCCAAAGTTATCTATATTTATATACTTATATAATAAAACGTAAGCACACACTTCTTTGTTCCATAGAATCTCACCAATCACATCATATGTTTCCATAATTCTGTTTATATTAAAAAAGCCTTATACTTATTACAAGATATATATTTTCACATTAGTTCAAAGGGGGTGAATCAATAAAAATAGTCATGCGGGAAAGAGAAATAAACTACAAGCCAATAGCAGCAAAGAACCAAGATTGCCATGGTAACTGCTATTGTTAGGTAGCCAATGGAAAAGTCTTTCGATGATAAATGACGTTTAAATGAACGTTTTGACGTATGCAAATGTAATTCTTACGGAATGTAATCAATAACATAGAGTTTTTAAGTTGTTATGCAAATGAAGCCGTACTTGAATAACTAGTTCTTTTTAATTATTTTGAGCAGAGACTCGCACCAACTAAAATCACACTATGGTCCTCAAGTGCATATTAATAGAGCTACGGGAACTCTTCAGAGCACATTGTTGGCATCGTC